CAATGATATCTTTTTCTCGTTGCTGATTTTTTTTAGTGGCAAAATGTTAACAACAGATAACAGATCGTATCTTAAAACTTTAAGGTGCACTTTATAAAAGCGATTCGAAAAAAATTCGCGTTAATTTAATGCATTTTAATTTACGTCCATGTTTATTTAAATCTTAAATGGTGTTTTATAGCATCATTATCTGTTCAATAACGAAACCTTATCTGTTTTAGCCGAGGCACTCGAAGAAGCCAGGATCCAAGGAGGTGTTCCTTATCCGTTTACGGAGCAATAACATGATAACAATGAGCTAACAATGACTGAAGATCCTGCTGTTTTTTCCATTCGAAATAATTGTTGAGACGCCGGTTTCAGCATATTCGCGTAAATAATGTTAGGCGCACATTGTTTTCGAAGAGTTCGCGTTAGTTTGATTTAAATCCACCGTTTTGAAAATTCGAGTTAACTTTGTGTAATGTAAATTTTCTTCGCGTTGTCAACCTGCATCTTTAATTTCTTACAATAAAGGTAATCAAACAACAACAGAGAAAACGCAAAGAAAATGGAACGGCAATTTAACCCCTGAGAGTGACAGGCGTCTCATCTATCTTCATACGAGATGGTGAGGCATAGGTTGGAGACTGACACAAGGAAATAAGATTTTAAGACAACCTCCACTGTGGAACCAAACGTCTTATCAATGATTTTTTTTTTCTTGTTGCTGATTTCTTTAATGGAAAAATATAATCAGAAGATTACAGACTGTAATTAAAAAGACAACCGAGGGCAATCTCAAGAGAAGGAACGGCAAAGAATTCCAACAATTAGATATTAAAATTTTTTAACCCTAAGAGAGACAAGTGTCCAATCTGCTCATTGTCATTGTGTCGCTGCTGAATCAAACATTAACCTGACAAGAATAAATGAAAAGTTTGCAAACTAAAGAATCTCTCGATCGGTAATGAAATTTCACTTGTGAAAATTGTATAGAGAGCTGTATAGATAGTATTTACACTAATTTTAGGGTTTAGAGGGGAAAAAAACCTGTGTGTGCGCAAGCGTTACCAACAACTAATATAATTAGTTCGTTTAAACCGGCAAGGCGAAACAGGTCCAGTGATTTTACTTATTGTTAGTTGTATGAATAACCTTTTACTATTCAAAGGTTATAAACCGTTTTAATCACTTGTGTATTCCCACCAGTTTGTTGTCATTGCCTAATTAAGTTTTTGCCTCGATATGCGAAAGGTTACGTCAAAACTATTCATGCTCTGCTGGCCCTGAACAAAGCCGATGGATTTGGATTCTCGAAGATTTTGTTTCAGGCACAATAGATAAGGCATTAAGGCATTGATGACGAATTGACAGGTTGAGACCCGTAAACGTAAACTGAAGAGGGTAACCTCATTTCGTCAGTTGAGATATCAACGTCCGCTCGGTCACAAGCATCTCTGAGAAAGAGCCACTCCCGGTTTTGTACCTGGCAAGCAGATTAAGATGAACAAACTTCTGCTCTCTTTTCTGGTCATCTCAGTTGTTCTCGCTGTGTGCTGTGCACTGAGAGAACGGCGAGAGGTGCGTCAGGATTCTAATCGCCAAAAGCGTTCTATCCGGGACATGGTTCGTCGAGAGGCAAGACGCTTAGATCTGTCCCGCAGAGAATTTGCGCGTCGCGATCTTACACGCCGGGAATTATTTCGACGCGATCTCAGCCGTCGAGATCTCACTCGCCAAGGTAACGGATGATGTTATTTTAGTGATCGTAGAAGAAACCTGTAAAAAAAATCTGCTCTGTGTGTGACTTCGAGGCTCAGTAAGCAGTGGCGCCAAACAAATATCTAAATTTTTTTTCCAAATTTTTTATGCAGCTCACTCGCCAAGATCATTGCTTACTTGATCGTAGCTAAATTAGATTTGACCAGTTTGGGCGTCTCAGTAGATTTTTTATCATGTTCTGGTAAAACGCTGCTCTGCAGACCAACTGTGACCGTTGGTAAATCACAAAAGGATAAAAAAAATTTGCTCTACCTTACGTGATGTCTATACTTCCTTGTAGTAATATATTTGCAAGGAGATCATTTTGCGTTCCAACATCCTAGTTCCAAAAGAGCATCTCGTCCGGGCATTTCAGCGAGTAACTGTTTGTCGTTAAACTATTTTTTATAAAGCACAAGCAGACTGAGTTGTCTGAAAATGGCCTTATATCTTGCAAAAATTGCTGACCCTTCATCTTTAAATCTTGATATCGTTCTTTAGCCCGCCGTCTTGGAGCAAACGATTATCAAGCAGTGCATGCTCAGTTCCACGAGGATGAAGGAGCATTTGCAGGTACGAAAACTGAACTGATATCTTTTTGGCAGCTTTGGCTATCTCATTAACGACCAGCCAGCTGATTCCTTTTGGAAACCAGGGACAGGACTCGAAACAGATTTTACCAAAATCAATATGCATAGATCATAAAAAGATTAAGATAACTGCTTTGAATTGTTCTCAATTGAGATGGTCCGAATGTCACTTAATTAACGTTGAACTCATTTCCGACCATGTTTGAAAGATAACGCTAACTAACAGT